TAGTAGAGACGGGGTTTCACCATGTTGACCAGGATGGTCTCGATCTCTTGACCTCGTGATCCACCCGCCTCGGCCTCCCAAAGTGCTGGGATTACAGGCTTGAGCCACCGCGCCCGGCTAGTCTTTTTTTTTTAAAGAATGTTTTACTATTTTGGGTCTCTTACAATTCCATATGGACTTTTGAATCAGCTTGTTAATTTCTACAAAGTCTGCTGGGATTTGGATAGGGATTACACTGAATCTTTATATCAGTTTGAGTATTGATCCATGAACACAATATATTTTTCCAAATATTTATATTTTCTTAACTTCTTTCAGTAATGCTTTGCAGTTTTCAGAGTATAAATTTTACACCTCTTTTGTTAAACTATTTCTATTCTAATCTTTTTGATGCCATTGTAAATGAAATTATTTTTCTAATTCCATTTTCAGTTGGTTTATTGCAAGTGTGTAGAAACAAGATTGATCTTGTATCCTGAATCTCAAATTCATTTATTAGTTCTAATAGTTTTTAGTGGATTCTTTGAAACTCTCTAGATATAAGACCATGTCTGCAAATATATAGCTTTATATTTTCCTTTCTCCTTTTTCTGAGACAAAGTCTTGCTCTGTCACTCAGGCTGGAGTACACTGGTGCAATCTTGGCTCACTGCAACCTCTGCCCCCAGGCTCAAGCGATTCTCATGCCTCAGCCACTCAGCAGCTGGGATTACAGGAACGTGGTGCCACATCTAACTACTTTTTGTATTTTCAGTAGAGATGGGGTCTCGCCATGTTGCCCAGGCTGGTCTCAAACTCCTGTCCTTAAGTGATCTGCCTGCTTTGACTTCTCAAAGTGTTGAGATTACAGGCATGAGCCACTGCACCCAGACTGTTTTATGAACTTCTTTACTTCTTTTAAGTAAATTCAGATTGTCTATTGCCAAGTCACTTTCAATAGTTTGTGTGTTTCTAAGAATTTATACATGTCATCTAGGTTGTCTCATACATTGTCATACAATTGTTCATTTTATTCTCATAATACTTTTATTTCTATAATGTCTTATCATTCATTTCTGATTATAGTAATGAGTCTTCTTTTTCTTGGTCTAGCTAAATGTTTGTCACATTTGTTGATCTTTTCAAAGAACCAGCTTTGTTTTTCTTGGTTTTCTCTATTTCATTAATTTCAGCCCTATTTGTATTTCCTTCCTTCCTTCTTCCATTATCTTAAGAAGGAATGTTAGGTTATTTTAACTCTTTCCTAACATAGGTATTTATGGCTATAAATATCCCTATAAGCTGGGCTTTAGCTGAAGTTCTGTTGCATTGTGTCTTCATTTTCATTCATCTAACTGTATTTTCTGATTTTCCTTCATTTCTTCTCTGACTCATTACTTACTTAGGAGTATTTTGCTTAATAATTTCACATATTTCCAAGTTTCCCAAACTTCTTCCTGCTATTGATTTCTCATTTCATTCCATTTTACTTGGAGAACATACTTTGTATTATTTCTGTATTTTTAAACTTGAGGTTTCACAGCCTAACATATAAACCTATCCTAGAGAACATTCCACTAAGCACTTGAAAAGACTATATCCTCTTGTTTGTTGAGAGTATTCTACAGATGTCTGTTAGGTAAGTTGGTTTACTGTGTGGTTCAAGTCTTCTGTTTCCTTACTGATCTTCTGTTTGTTCTATCCATTATTGAAAGCAGAGTACTGAAGTCTCCAACCATTAACTGCTGAAGTGTCGATTTCTCTGTTTCTACTTCATGTATTTTGGTGTTCCATTATTAGGTGCATGTTTATAATTATTATATCTCCCTGAGGGATTAACCTTATCATAAAATGTCCCATCACATAATTTTTTTGTTCTATAGTCCATTTTCTAAGTATAGTCACTCTAGTTTTCTATAGTTGCTATTTGCATATTTTATTCTATCCCTTTACTTTCATTAATCTGTTACTATTTTGAATCTAAACTGTGTCTCTTGTACATAGTATACAGTTGGATCAGGGTTTCAACATCATTAATGACCAGGGAAATGCAAATCAAAACCACAATGCAATACCACCTTACTCCTGCAAGAATGGCTATAATAAAAAAAATAATAGATACTGGCATGGATGCAGTGAAAAGGGAACACTTCTACACTGCTGGTGGGAATGTTAACTGGTACAGCCACTATGGAAAACAGTGTGGAGATTCCTTAAAGAACTAAAAGTAGAACTACCATTTGATCTAGCAATCCCACTACTGGGATCTACCCAGAGGAAAAGAAATCATTATACAAAAAAGATAGTTGCACAAGCATGTTTATAGCAGCACAATTCTCAACGGCAAAAATATGGAACCAGCGCAAGTGCCCATCAGTCAACAAGTGGATGAAGCAATTGTGATATATATATGATGAACTACTACTCAGCCATAAAAAGGTATAAATTAATGGCATTCACAGTAATGTGGATGGAACTGAAGACTATTATTCTAAGTGAAGTAATTCAGGAATGGAAAACCAAACATTGTATATTCTCACTAGTAAGTGAGAGCTAAGCTATGAGGATGCAAAGGTGTAAGAATGATACAATGAACTTTGGGGGACTGGAGTGGGGGGAAGGGTGGGAGGGTGGTGAAGAATAAAAGACTACAAATTGGGTTCAGTGTATACTGCTTGGTGAAAATGGGTACATCAAAATTTCATATATAACCACTAAAAAACTTAACTCTTGTAACCAAATACCACCTGTTCTCCAATAACCTATGGAAATTAAAAAAACAAAAACAAAAACAGAAAAGATTTTCAAAAAATTCAGCCTCTGTCTTTTGATTGGATTGTTCATCATATTAAACATTACTGATTTGTTAG